CTTAAATTTTATATAAAATATTTACATAGACGTTGATTTATCAAGTTTTAAAAAAGTTATTTTGGTTACTAGTTTAATTAAGCAAAGCTCCTATTGCATAATATTGTTTTTTTCGTGAATAATGATAAACATTATAAATTGCCTCCCTAACAACGGGAATAATAAACGTATTATTCACGTTGTTAGGCATTAGTGATTGGCCGATTTCAATGTTCACTGTGATTTAAACCAATCGGGTTTTAAATTTGGAGAAGGCGACTAAAATAAAAAGTGAGGTTGGCCAATTGACAGATGTCAGATTTCATTTATTTATTTTTAAAAATCATTTAATTATCTAACTATTGGAGTAGATAATAGTATATTATTATACGAGAGATAATGTAGGCTATTATTCACAAAGATGAGGTTTGCGTCTCGAGTCGGCAGACGAGAGACTTAAATCATCCGACGAACACAAAACAGAATTTAAAGCCAATTTTTTTGTTAAAAATTTGTCAACTGTCACCAGAATTTAACCTCACTTTTTTTCCAATTTATAATAAAGCTAACTTCAGACCCACACTAAAATGCTTAAAAGCTTTTATATTTTAGTAATAAGATAATAAAATAATTTTTACATTAAGTATTATTTTACAAGGGCACTTTATTTTAACGATAGTATAACATTTTTATGACATTTGACAACTTTCAACTAACTTAAAACTAACTACAGCCCTTGACTAAAAATGTGTTGCTAACTTCAGCCTATTACTAAAAATTTGTTGCTAACCTCAGCCTGTTACTAAAACAACATAAAACCACAACTTGTCAATGTGTATTTGAAAGGTTCTTGAAAATGGATTAACAAGAGTTTTAAACAGTGAGTCCGAGCCAGAATTTAAGTTAAAGTTTACTGGCGGCAAAATTAACAGGTCAGTACAATCTTCATATAAACTATAGTAATTTAGTATTATTTTACAAGAAGGGCACTTTATTTTAATGATTGTAAGACATTTGACAACTGTCAACTAACTTAAAGCTAACTTCAGCCGGTGACTAAAAACCTGTTGCTAACTTCAGCCCGTGACCAAAACGCCATAAAGCCACAAGTTGTCTATGTATATTTAAAAGGTCACTTAGTGTCATGGAAACATGTACGATAATGGACGTTTTAAAGGTGGAAGTCGAAAAAATAATATAAACTGATTTTGCTTAACGTTTTTGCTTATTTTGGCAAGAACATTTTATAAATGTGCATAAAAAATATTAATTGAGATGAAAAGAAAAACCAAATCACATAAATTACACTGTGATAGTTTTAGAAACTTTTTTTTCCAACATTGAGTACTCCAGCTTGGGCAGCTGCAGCGGTGTTTTCAAAAATGTCATTTGTTTTTCTCTAGGACGTCTATGATTTAAAATAATTTCATAATAAAATGCTCTTAATTATTTATTAAATTATTTTAGCTTAAATTTATCTTCAGTGTACCTACTGAAGTAATTGGTATACGGCAAATAGATCATATTTATAAGTTTAATTGTATAATCCATTTTAACAGTGGGATTTTAATATTGTAAATAAAATTAAATTAGGCACTTCCCTGCTGTAAATTTTTTTTATTTTATTTTATTTTAATAACCGACCGGTTTCGCCTTACGGCATCTTCAGGGTTTACGTCAATATTATAAAAATATACGTTTAACAGACATTAGAACAAGTATAACATGTATTATGGACATTACAGATATAAATATAATTAAAACACATTAAAATTTTTGTTAATTAAAGCTTGAATAAAAATTAAAATTTAGTAAAAGTTAAGGTTATGTTATAATTAATTAATTATAACATAAATAATTAATTAACAAAAATTTTAATGTGTTTTAATTATATTTATATCTGTAATGTCCATAATACATGTTATACTTGTTCTAATGTCTGTTAAACGTATATTTTTATAATATTTACGTAAACCCTGAAGATGCCGTAAGGCGAAACCGGTCGGTTATTAAAATAAAATAAAAAAAAAAAAATTTACAGCAGGGAAGTGCCTAATTTAATTTTATTTACAAGATCATATTTATCTTAACAATATGACATTTTAAATACTAAAACTAAAATTTTAATGTATTTTATGTAAAAAAAACAACCATTATTTGACATTTTTTGTCGTTTATTTTAATTATTGAATTGAAAGGGCAACAAAGTTAACAAGTTTAGGTATTTTTTATCCAAATTAAGTCCACAAAATTTAATGCATTGCATAATTTTGCTTTTCTCTAGCTTAAATTTATTAAATGGTATCAAATATCGAATAATTCTTTACAAAACGGAAAGCATTTTTGCTTGGGCGTAAAGGTACCGCAACAAAAACAAAACAAATTTACAACGACGATATAAAGGTTCGTCTTTCTCTTTCTCTGACACTTCCATTACCACTTCCATTTCCTGCTCTTTTTTAATTTTTGGTTCTTAAGTGTCAAAAAGATAGATGCACTTGCTTGAACGATAAAGTAGGTAAAGGCGCCTTTATACTTCAATTCGATATTAAATTTTGATAAGACCTAATAAATAATAATTTTGGGTACTTTGGGCATGATGTAATAAAAAAATATAAAATAGTAGTCGAAGAGTAATGTTTATACCGAAACCCATTTACTTTGTTGCCTTTTCCATTTAATTGGTAATTAAAAAAATTACACAAAAATTTTAAAAAAATGATATTTTTTACCGAAAAAACATTATAATTTTAGTTTTGGTATTTAATAAAGCACTTTTCTGCAGTGCTTTATTAAATATCCCTTATATAATACTACTATGGTATACGGCTACAATGAAACAAAAAAAAATTCTATTTGACATTTATCTACCGATGACTTTGTATGGAGTCCCTGTATATTTTTGACAAAAAACGTCAAAAATATACTGAACATCCAAAATAGATTTAAGGCAAAATAATTCAATAAATAATTAAAATATTAAGGAAAAACTTACATTTTATGATAATTGGGCAGACCATTTTATTACGCAATTATTTCGAATCGTAGACGCCCTGGAGCAAAACGGGTAGCATTATTGAAATCAGCAGCCCAAAATTAGGTATTATAGGTGGGCGTACTCAATGTTAGTAATTCGAACTATCAAAGTGTTATTATTACTTTGCACATGAATTGTTTAAAATCAATAATAGGACAAAAATAATGGTGTACCTTTTGTACAGTTACGGAAAGAAGTAATGTCCATTTAAATGCTCCATTGTAATTGTTCGGAGGCATTCGGGTTTTGCTAATAAAATTAACATATCTATTTTTAAACTCAATAATTCCACCTACCTGCTATTTACCATTCTTTCTACGCACATTTCATTTGACTTTTAAGCAATAATTAAATATTTAAGGAATAACATTGATTCTGAAATAATTTAAATATAATATATGTTCTATAACTTATTAAATAAACTATATATTATTTAATAAGTTGTTATTAATAAAATAATATATTTAAAAGAAATATAGACATTTAATACTAAAATAATTATAAATTAAACTAAAATGCATTTTGTGCAATATTAATACGTTTTTCTACTCCTATTGCATATTATTGAAATTTTTTGTTTTTTTTTGCGTAAATAATGGTAACCAATATAACCGCCCGGCCTATCAAAGTGAATTATATTACCTATATTATTATTATATTCACGTTGTTAGGTATCAGTGATTGGCTTATTTTAATATTCACTGTTATTTGAACCAATTGGGTTTTAAATTAGAAAAAAGTAAGGTTGACAGATGTCAGATTTATTTATATATACGAGGGGCTACTATAATGATAGTTAAAATAGGAGAGAATTGAGGTTATAATAAATTTTGTTATCAATGAAAATTACTTAATTGGAGTAGAAAAAAATAGTATTACACTCGAAATAATGCGCATTATTTACTCGGATGAATTACGTATCTCGCCTAACGGCTCGACATGCAAACCTTATCCTTTTGAATAATAGCCTGCATTATCTCTCGTATAATAATATACTATCATCAACATTTTAGTTTTCATTACTTGTTTTATGAAATATCTGCCCAATACCAACTTATTTCAATGTATAAAAATCCAATAAAATATGGAAACGGCATAAATTTATAATTATTATAATAATTTAACTTGGTATTCCCAAAGGCTCTAAGTGTCAAAAATAAAATTGTGAGAAATCAATGAAAATCCATCCATCTTTAAAATACAAAAATAATATGGAGAAATTTTTTTTAGTCGTTTTGCATGGCACATATATGTCTATAGACTATTTTTAAATTATAATATAATATTTGACCAAATTTTACAAAATCTCATATTATTTTAATGGGAAATAAAAATTCCCGATGAAGGACCCGTAAATGTAATATTAAAAGGTTACATTTTAACAGGACCATTTTTATCAGATTCTGAAAAATATTTTTGAGGTACTTTAAAAATAAATATTCGATTTTTTTGTATAAGTCTAACAGTTATATAATATTTTTTTATAAAATATTTAAAAATTTGTCCTACATTTAAAATATTAATATGAAATTAAATTAAAATACTTTTTAACATTTTAGTCCGGAAGAATTTTGGTCTGTAAAATTTATTACATACTTTTATGACATAATTTAAGTTTTTTGTATTTAAGTTATTTTCTGTTTATACATCTATAGGTATTGTAAAATGTAAAGTAAGTTTTTAAAAACTACAACTTGATAATATTATTTATAGCCTAAAAAGTTCTTATTAAAAGTTTTTTCATAGAATAAATGTTTATAAAACTATACAAAAATATATCAAAAAATTAACGATTTAATAAAAATACAGTTAAATATGTAATATACCCAAAATAATTAATTCAATACGTGCAGGTAGTAAATCCCTAAAAGGCAGATGTTGACTATTTCCGAATGCCTCCGAACAATTACAATGGAGCATTCAAATGGACATTACTTCTTTCCGTAACTGTACATATAATTATCTTAAGTTTAATAATACTTACGTAAAATCACAAAATGCAGATCCCTCCTTTTCGTTGAGAGTTACTTTCAACCTAATAGGCGAGCCATCGTCCAGAAAGTCTTCAGCTTGCAAAACCGTTTTTCCAGTTCTTTTAAGGGCGTCTTTGGCTACCTGTCGCAACATATCCCTTACGGCAATTTCCGCGTTAGTCTGTATATGAGTCATATAAGCTTGCACTACATCCAAACTGTATTGGTCAATAAGTTCACAAACTAAATCAATTCCTGAAATCAAAAGTCAAAAATTATTTATAATGGCCTTTTAAGATAACATACGAATAGAAAAGTTGCATTTGTTATTCCATGTTTAAAAAAAACTTTTTTTATATATTTTCTTCTATACTACACAAGATTACCCCTTAATTTATAGAATTAACCCTTAAAATATTTAAATGAAATTCATATACCCTGCATAATATAATAAAATAAATACCCAAACTAATATTTTCAGTAACTGTACGTAGTACACGGTGCTGTTCTGAGAGGTGATTTTTGGACTTTCTGTGAAACCTAATTTTTTTTTATATTCTTGTTAATTAGGTCATAACTAAAATTTTAAGAGCAAAATAAAAAAAATTTGACGGTTTGAATTGTTTTAATTGGCTGTTTATTAAAAATATTATGCACTCTTTCAATTATCCAATTAAAACTAGCGATTTAATTTAAATATTTAATATTTGCATAACTAAAAAAAAGGTTTTTACAATTTTTTTTATATATTTACTGTTTTGTTGCAATAAACGTTCAAACTTTTAATCTAACCTTTGACGCATACATTTATGTTCCCTTAATTAATATATCCTTAAAGGTTGCCATGAAACTTAGATCTATTAAAAATTTATTTGACGTTTGAACTGTTATTTTCAGTATACGTATTCTATAATTTTTGTTTAGTTTTTTAAAGTGTTTTTTATAAACAAAAATGAAAAATTGTAGTAAGAGTTACGAAGAAATTCATGAAATTTAACTAAGGACCGGTTTATTCATCTTTAGTAAAGTTTATCGGCAATATCTAGTATTCAAAGAAATTATTCGTCAAATAAATCAAAAATGAATAAATCGGCCCTAAATAAAATGGGGCACCCTTAGAATTATTGTTTAATAAATGTATACTATACATTTAACCTTAAATTAAAACTTTAAACGTGTATTACAACAAAACAGTAAAAGATATAAAAAATGTATAGACCTTTTTTTAGGAAATTAACTAATCTTTAATCTGATTTAGTTATGATAATATTTAAATAAAATCGCAAGTTTTAATTGGAGAATTGAAAGTGTGCATACATATTTTTAATAAACATCCAATTAAAACAAAATTTTAGTTATGACCTAATTAACAAGAATATAAAAAAAATTAGGTTTCACAGAAAGTCCAAAAATCACCTCTCAGAACAGCACTGTGAGTAGTCAACCAAATAAAAACCTCAAAACTTTAAATTTAGAGGAAACAAAAAATTATTATGTGTATGAAAAGCGTACTTTAGGTGTGGATATCATAGGAAACTCAAAAGCATATTTTCATGTTACATTTTTGTTGAAATAGAACCATACGCAGCAAAAATTCGCATTCTGCTTTCAAAACCAGCGGTTTTATTATTATTTTTTGTTATTTTTCGTTTTACGAATACCTGTTTTAACACATATTTTGTTTCCGGTCTCTAATACTTTGATGTTTTACCCAAATAATAAACGTTGTGTGGGAAATGGTTTCAAGTTTTTATAAAAGAAAACTAAAAATATAACGACTAAAGAATTCATACAGTTGTTGCTTTTATGAAAGACTTAATACGTAATAAAAATAATACGAGGTGTGTTCAGAAAATATGAGGAATTTTCGTTTTTTGAAACAAATATTTATTTATTCGTCTACATTAATGTTATCGCCTTTAAAATAGTCCCCATTGGATATTATGCACATGTTCCAATACTCGAAACACTTCTAAAACTCGATCTTTGGGATAGCCTTCTTTCAGCGATGCGCTTTTAATGTCATCTATGCTTGCAAAACGATGGCCCTTTAAGGTTCTCTTTATTTTTGGGAATGGGAAAAAGTCAGACAGAGGCATGTCTGGCGAATATGGAGGCTGGGGCATCATTACAGTATTGTTTTTGGACAAAAATTTTGTTCAAAATTTAACAATTTTAGAACAAATTTTGCTGCCACGCGTTTCATACCCAAAACATTCGAAAAAATTTCATGGGATGATCCAATCGATATACCAACATCATCAGCTACTTCTCTGATGGTTTATAACCATTTCTTACACTTTTTCCATGTTTTTATCGGTTGTTAATGTGCTTGTGCGTTCGGGGCGTTCGTCATCTTCAACGTCTTCACTGCCATCTTGGAAACTCTTATACCACTTGTAAACTCTTGTTTTACTTATAGCAGACTCACTATAGGCCTTTGTTAACATTTCACAGAATTTATTTTTTTAACAAAATTTGATACAAATTCTTTGATCCATTTGTTTTAACTTACGAAAAATCGCCGAGCTCATAAAACACGTCTAACCTTAGCGGCTGCCACAGACAAAGTAAACAATGAAAACAGCTTAAGTTTTTATCATATTTCGGGGGCATGTATACCAACCTAATAAAGAAAATTTTATGACGACCGGACCCTCCGAACCCGCGAAATTTAACAATTCCCGTTATTTTCTGAACACACCTCGTATGTTAATATGTACTAAAAAGTATATGAAAAAAAAATTGTTTTAAAATTCTTTTTTTCATTGATTTTTTAGATACAGTAAAACATTATTTTAAACTTTAATATTTATTTCCTACCTTTTTTGTTAGCTGCAACTTGGGCCCTCAAATCGGAAATATTGTCGCCCAAATTTCTTCCACCGGCACTCAAGATGGCGTCGGTTACTTCCTGTTCTCTAAATTTACCCTTTTCGACCAATAGAAACGACTTAAACGCTGCACCTTCTTGATCCAAACTGTTCGAATGGGGCGGCATCGAACCGGGAGTTATGCCACCTATGTCGGCATGATGACCACGGCTTGCCACGAAGAATATCGGATTTTCACTGTTTCTAAAAACATGTCGTAGATAAATTGGAATATTTGCATTAATATATGGTAAATTTATATCATACGATTTATTTGATTTGCACAAACGTAGTAAACTTATCCAATATATCAAAACAATATTTAAACTCGCTCTAAAAGCCAATAAACAAAACACCACAGTTTGAGGGAGACGGCTAAATTAATTTTCCAATGCTTAGTTTCGCATTCGTTCATTTTAAAAGGATATTGTTTAGATACTTTGTATACATGCAATTAATTAATAGTATAGATTGGGTACATTTAATTAACTATAGTGCGCTCGATAATAATTAAAGTTTGCTTGGAATGTATTGTTAATAAAGCGTTTTCAATGCAAATAATATTATTATGTACTAGGGTGATTCATTTCCGCAAAGTTTTTGTTTTCTCCAGTGCTCAAGCAAAATATTAATCTGCATATAGAAACAAAAATTCTCAACAAGTTTGAGCTCTTAATATAAATTTTAAGTACTTAATATTTAAATTTAAAGTTTTACCGTTTAAAATGCATGTAAAAAATATATATTTTTTTTAAATTTCTAATGCTTACCCACCTTTTACAATTTTACAAATCGGTTTGATGGACCTTGTTGGGAATTTCACGCTCTTCAAAATTGCTTTAAAGTTTCTTTGTGTAACTCGCATTGGTTCATCCGTAGGAGTCGTCAAAGTGCAGTTTTTGAAAAATATCGTTTTTTTTTAAATTTTTTCTAACAAACGGTAAAAAGTAGGGAGAAAAAAGGGCTGAATCATAAAAAAAAGTTATCCAACTAATATTTAATGAATTTACAGCCATTTTTATAACTGAAAACGTAAGAAATTGATAATTACTAGAGATAGGATATTTAGGTACTAAAAACTGAAAAATAGGTAACTAAAAAGGTACTAAAAAAGAGCATTTTAGGTTACAAAAACAGCATAGGTAAAAAAAAACATTAAAAGTTCAAGTTTTGTTTATAATTTTGTTTAGCCGCATTTCACTGAGTGACACTCACTACACAGAAGTTCCATGACAGAACATAAGCTCACTACAAAGAAGGTAACTGTAAAGAAAGTTACTGTTACAGTCTGTGACCATAAGAAAAAATTCTATACCGTTGAGTTGCACGCCCTGGATAAAATATTGGCGCAAAATTTAAAAAAAGCACAAAAAAATAAAATAAGTAAAAATACGTAAAAATAGGTAACAAATAGGTGAAAATAAACTGACAAATTAAAAAATATGTAACAAAAGTATAAAAAGGTACTTTAAATCAAAAACCTCCAAAAAATGTAAAAACGGTGAAAACAAGTTAAAAAATAGGTAACAAAAGTACAAAAAAGGTAGTTTAAAGCAAAAACCTCCAAAAAAGGTAAAAAAGGTGAAAACAAGTTAGGTTCATATAAAAGAAAATCTTTTAAAACACATTTTGGCATTATTGGTTTTCAAATAGTTACATCGGCTGAAAAAAGGTAAAATAACTAAAATCCCATCCCTAATAATTACCAACTCATAATGTTATTTAGACTGATTTTTTCTATTTATTATCTTATGAATATTACCAGTGATGGGTCAAGAAAGTTTCTTAAAGAAACAAAGAAAATTGAATGTTTTATTATCATTATATTTCCCTACACTAAGAAGTTTTTTAAAATTATTGATTTCTCACTTATAATGAATATGAAAACAAAAGATAAATTCATAAAAAAACAATAAGAAAATTGTAACGTGGATTTTGCAATTTTTCAACATTTCTGTCATATAGCAAAAAAATATAAATGAAGATTATTTAATTTTTTGAAGCGAAATTTGAAATATGTTACATAACCTTCTGTATATTCCGATTAAAGTTTTGTTGTTTTTTTTTATGAATTTATGTGTTGTTTTCATATTCATTATGAGTGAGAAATCATAATAATTTTAAAAAAGTTCTTAGTGTAGGGAAATATAATGATAATAAATAGAAAAAATCAATCTAAATAACATTATGGGTTGGTATTTATCAATTTCTTACGTTTTCAGTTATAAAAATGGCAGTAAATTTATTAAATATTGGTTGGATAACTTTTTTTTATGAATCAGCCCTTTTTTCTCACTACTTTTGGCGATTTGCTCGAAAAAACAAAAAAAAACTGTCCTTTGACGACTCCTACTGGTGAACCAATGCGAGTTACAAAAAAACTCAAAAGCAATTTTAAAGAGCGTGAAATTCCCCATAAGGTGTATTAAACCGATTTGCAATATTGTCAAAGGTGGGTAAGCATTAGAAATTTGAAAAAATATATATATTTTTTATATGCATTTTAAACGGTAAAACTTTAAATTTAAATAGTAAGTGCTTAAAATTAATATTAAGAGCTCAAACTTGGTGAGAATGTTTTTCCTATATGCAGATTAATATTTTGCTTGAGCACCGAAAAAAACAAAAACTTTGCGGAAATGAATCACCCTATTATGTACTCGCAACAAGCAAATAAATTAAATTAAATGTATCTAGTAAAACTTGACAAAATACCTAAGTAACTACCTATAAAACACATTATGGACTCTTGAACAATAGCCAATCCAATGTGACATAACGTACGTTTCTTGCAAGTCGTTAGATGAAATCATAACAAAATTATTACATTTTAAGTAGCAGAGGTGTTTCAAGACATTACTGGAGAATTAAGTGCCCACTTACAGCGTTTACAGCTGTAAAATTATAGTGTTATTGAGGATTTTTGAGCTTTAACGTATATCCCTTTTTTAAGTGTAGGTAATTCCATCTTTACAGATTGATACTTAAGAATTAAGGAATTTGGGATAATCCTATTTTATTAAACAAACAAACGTGAATATACAGAGTGGCCCAAGGAAAACTAAACAGGGTTGTAAGCAGTGATTCTTTTTAAACGCAATGACACGACAACTTCGCCCTTTCGAGCAGTGGTCATGACTCCTAAAATGTTAATGATAGTATCATTTGTAAAATTCTTTTCATTAATTTTCGAAGTGGGAATTAATAAGTAAAAGGAAGAGTTTTGAAAGTCTCACTTTCTTTTAAAAACTCTGAATAAGTCGAAAAAAGTCTGAATAAGTCTTAGTAAGTCAGACCAACAGCAAGATTTGAGAGTCTTCTGGAAGAGTTAATAAGACTTTTAGTAGAGAAATGGTAGGTATACCTATAGCGATTAAAATAAATATATATATACGGAATTATTCCATATGTATTTGGTAATTGCAAAAGAAAACACAAAGAAAAGTATTAATAAACACTGTTTTTGTGTTGTTATAAGGCTTATAAAAACACTAAAGCAATGTTCATAATATAGGTAAGCAACGTTTACTTCAATTTTTTACAATAAAATAGTTGAGACCACAGACAAAATAGACTTGCCTTAGGGAGAAAATGATACGGCCGGGCGGGTGCCTGAACGGGTGCCTGTTTTCCAGTTCGCATCATTCATATTTGAGCAGTTGACCTGTGAGGATATATTATTTATGTAAAATTCTTTGAACATTATGGGTAAATGTGTTGTCAAAGTGTGTCCTAGTCGTAGTGAAACTAGTTCCAGCCAATTCCAACCAATTTCCTTTTTCCATTAAGTAGTAATTACGAGATAAATTTTAAGCGATTTTATTAATTTTGCATGTCAATACCTTGCGTGCGCACACAGATGTTGTGTTGTTCTCTCCTTTGCACAGAGCCGTACGTCGTTCATTCTGGAGCGTAAAACCAGATGAATTTCTTTGATAATCACTAGGAATATTTTAAATAAAATATAATATTAAAATAATACTTTTTTCACTTTTAGTGGAAATTTATTTCATTAGGAGTTATTTATTCTGACTTTTTAGCGAAATTGGTCTGTTTCGTTCAGTTTTTTATTTTAAAATTTTCAGAATTTTAATTTTTTTTATTTTAAGAGCTTAATTTGCCTTTTTTTTATTAGAGAATTTATAATTTATTCTATTTTTTTTATTTTTTTTATTAAGGATTACATTAAAATTTGTTTAAATACATAATTTATTTAATTATTTTTACGTTTTTTCGTGTTTAAAATCTATAACGAATTTATGTACTTACAAATATATAAATGTAAAACAAAATAAATTTAATACTTTTTAAAAAGATACCGCTCGTACGAAATTATTCAATACGGGCCTGGCAGAATACATATCTTCTCTTATATAATATATAATATAATGTATACATTCCCTTGCCCCCCTTCCCCGATTTATGGCACGCTGGTTTCATGTTAGCGATACTGAACAGGGCAAGTTTATTTTGTGTGTGGTTAAGACATACGTTTGGTTTGTTTACATACAAATCCCTTGATTACATAAGCTATAATAACTATAAGAATAGGCATGATCTTCGAGCTGCTTTCATTGCTTGTGTTTTTCAAACACTGTTTGATGATACGTACTACAAAATACTAAAAAAACTATTTTTATTTTAAATTTACTAGCGCATTCGTCCTGCTTTGAAAAATAAATTAAATTAATTTAAATGTTATATAAGTCAATAAAAATGTAACAGAATAGAATAAAATAATTAAATATTATTTAGTAAATATACAATATTATTTACTGAAAATTTCTTTAGTTATTATTTTAATCGAAATTTGCAAATTATCCGATTTTACCCGCTTCAAAATTCTACCCGCAAACATGACGAAAATGGGTGACGTTCATAATATCGAAATTCACTTTATCGAATTCAAAATATCGAACACTTTTTATCGAAAATCAAAATATCGAAAATACAAAATGTCGAAAATCAAAATATCGAAAATTAAAATGTCGAAAATGATAATATCGAAATTTTATTTAATCGAATTTTCAATTTATCGAAAATAAAATATCGACGTTCATAATATCGAAATTCACTTTATCGAATTCAAAATATCGAACACTTTTTATCGAAAATCAAAATATCGAAAATACAAAATGTCGAAAATTAAAATGTCGAAAATGATAATATCGAAATTTTATTTAATCGAATTTTAATGTGAAACTAAACCATATTTTCTTATTTTGAATTTGATATTTTGTTTAAATATTTCAATTAATCGACATATTATTTTAATCCGAAGTGTATATGTATAGAGGCGCCTCTGATATAGAAATGTACTCAAACTCAACAACACAACCCAACCGACCCCGCCCCATTGCCCCCCCCCCGCCCCATTGAGCAAAAAACCCAACTAAAATGGGCTAATTTATGTAATTAAAAAGTGTTTTATTTTTATCGTAACATGAATTTGCCCATTTTAGTTGGGTTTTTTGCTCAATGGGGCGGGGGGGGGGCCAATGGGGCGGGGTCGGTTGGGTTGTGTTGTTGAGTTTGAGTACATTTCTATAAAACGCGCATCTCTAGGAGCCAGGGAGCCAAGATAATTCGGTGCATAACCGTAACTTTATCTACAGAGGCGCCTCTGTACATATACACTTCGATTTTAATCATACATTTTAATTTTCGATATTTTTAAATCGATATTTTAATTTTCGAAATTTTAATTATTCGACATTTTCAAATCGACATTTTAATTTTCGATATTATCATTTTCGACATTTTCAAATCGACATTTTAATTTTCGATATTATCATTTTCGACATTTTAATTTTCGAAATTTTAATTATTCGACATTTTCAAATCGACATTTTAATTTTCGATATTATCATTTTCGATAAAAAGTGTTCGATATTTTGAATTCGATATAATGAATTTCGATATTGTGAACGTCACCCGACGAAAATAGCCGATTTTCGAGTAAAATACTTGCAACACTGGGTCGGACTGACAGAAGAAATATGCAATCATTGGCCAGCTGAGAAAATCGATATTGCGTCTAGAACACATGTGTTCTTGTTATTGAAACAATGGCTTATTGGAATGTATATGTATGTGTATACACATATATGTAATAATAATAATAAAATATATGAATATTTGCTTATATAAAAAGAAACTATTACAATATTTACAACGTACAGTGGCAACAATAAAAGCAAGTTAAGCGCATCGTATGTAAAAAATTATAATTGTTATTACAAAAATTATAATTGTTATTACACCTTACATATTTTATTATATAGCAATACACTTGGCTTATAACAAAACAGGAAAAATGTTAATAAATACTTGTATTTGTGTTTAATTTTTCAATAATCAAGTACAACCTCTCTAAATAATTCCGGATGTTTATTTTTATTGCTATAGCTAGGTACCTACCATTTCTCTTCTAAAAGTCTTATTAAGTCTTATTAACTCTTCCAGAAGACTCCCAAATATTGCTATTATTCTGACTTACTAAGACTTATTCAGAATTTTTCATATTTCGTAAGTCTTTTTCCAACTTAATAAGTCTTATTAAGAGTTTTAAGAGGAAGTAAAACTTTTAAAACTTACTTACTTACTAAAACTTTTTCAGAGAAAAATTTCCATAAGGGAATAACTCGAAGTCTTGATAACTCGAAGTTTTTTTGTGGCATGGTTCGAGTTATCGAAGTTCGACAGTATTTAAATTTGAAGTTTTTTCTTATTCAAGAATTTTTGGCAGAAAAACAATTAATGTTCTAATGTTCACTCGTCCAAAAACCAGATGTTGAAAAGCAAATTGTCAAAGCATTTTAATTTAATTTAATTTGTTTAGTCATAGTTTTCATGATTTATTTTAATTTTGATTTGTCGCAATTTAGTATTGTATAAGTTTGGCACTGAATTTTTCAATAAAATTCCTTAATTTATAATATTTTTATAGTGTACTATTGCAAAGTCCCGACCGTTACGCTTTAAATTATTAGTTTTTAAGGAATTGGACAGTCAATCACGATACCCAATTTTGCCAAATAAAAACCTTGTTAAACAGCTCCAGTTTAGAACCATTTATAAAAATTTGAGATTGGCAATACAATAGAACAACATTATTTTGTAAATAAAAACACGGCAACTATCCCATCCGTCACGCGTGGAATGGCTCTTATTTCAAAAGCCTAACTATTATAACTATAACTATTTTGCAAGTCACAACATTTTGAAAACAATTTTTTTTTCAAAACTTTTTGACAAATTTTGACCCAAGATATCTTTTGAACATTAATATCAAAAAGAATAGCATGATTTAAAGTTATTCCTACTAAATCAAAAAAACACCCTATATAATTTTTGAAAAATATAGTATAATGGATACAGTTTGTTTAACTTTATTTAACATTCAAGTTCTTGCTACTGGGACTCCAATTAAAACACAATAAACCATTTATTAAAAACAATATGCTAATTGTAACACTGTATGTAAATGGCATATAGAACGGCAAAACGGGCAAACGATTAATAACCGATGACACGAGCTGAAAACGGTCGCTATAATGTGCCATTAGGAAATTTAACATTTTTTGTGCGATTTTATTAACGAGTTTTCACCGGTTTACATCAGTTTATTACTTCATTGTTTTCAAAACATTAGGCCGGCCATAACACTTGTTCTATTTTTATGCATGTAGTGTAAAAGTACGCACTTTTAAATCTGATATAAAAAAGTATAAATAAAAATCTTACTTGTAAAACACTGGTGTGATGACAGTAAAATCAGGCAAATGTGAGCCTCCTGCAGCAGGATGGTTGGAAAGTATGACATCGCCTTCATAAAAGGTGTCTCTTGTTTTCATTTGATACTGAACTGCCTCTTGCATTGCACCAAGGTGCACGGGAATGTGGGGCGCGTTTGACACCAATCCTCCGTCAGGACCAAAAAGAGCGCACGAAAAATCCAAACGTTCCTTTATGTTTGTTGAAATGGAGGTCCTTTGAAGAATCCTGTAAAATGTGCTTTGTATTATGGATACATTAAAAAATATTTTTAACTCACCTTCCCATTTGCTCAGCTATACTCATAAACCTGTGGCTAAAAATACTCAGTTGTATGGAGTCCAATTCAGGTCCAATCTTCTTAAGCTGCCCTGACCCAATGGTTATTTTAATATCTCCATATTTAGTAATAATTCCTGTACAATCGGGTTCAACCAAAACAGTACTCAATTGGTCCATAATTATGGCCGGCCCTGATATAACCTGCCCACCAAAAAGTTTATCCAAGTGGTAGACATTCGTGTCCTGATATCCAGTCTCAAAGAAAACTTTTGATACCGAAGTAATTGCTGGCGAATCGTTGGATATTTCTTTCACATTTTCTTGATCCAAATCGCTTTTACCAACACCTCTGACCCTTATATCGTCCACAACGACACTTCTATTTTGTATTGTAAAACCAAACTCAGACTGATATCTTTGAACGAACGTCTCCGCAAAGTCCCCGTATTTAGTACCAATTTCAGAGACGGTGCCTGTGCACATCAAGGCGCAGTCTGTACCATCATACCTCATGTGTAGGTAAGGCTCCAAAACGATGTTTTTTTCGAGGAAGCCTTGTTTTAGTAGTTCTTTTTTACACTGTTCCCCCAAGATGTCCAAGCGTTCTTCAAAGAATTCGAAGTTTTCTGACGAGTAAATTTTGGCGCTCGGTTCTTGAGCTTCGTGTACTACATCAGCTAAGGCCATTCCGTATGCAGATAAAATACCTTAAATTAAAATTTGTTTTTTGTTAAATTTATTAAAATTGGTAGTTTCAGAACACATTTTCGCATTTATAACACAGTACGACAAAATTTGATTTTTTTCCCTCCCATGAAAAATTTCTATAAATTTTGAAAATAGAAAAATGATATCCGGTCTCGGCGTTTTTTCAGATCACGTCATTTTTTTTAAGTGCTATCCAATAAAATGTTATACACGGTATTCGGCACATAATATAACAGATTCGATAACAGTTAGACAGTATATTTTTATGAAAAATATATTCACTGAATAATTGGACAACCATTAAAATTATTTATTTATTTTAAAATTATTTTAATTATAAACAGGGTGTTGCACATTTACGAAATACGGGTGTTTCACTTTCATGGTCTATTGAGAGTTTTTGAGGAACGGCAAAAGATATCGATTTAAATATTTTAAAGCAGTTATAATCCAATTAAGCCTATTTTTCTAAAATATTTTAAAAGAAATGCCACTTCCGGTTTGACCGGAAGTGACATCAACTTTGTTATTTTAAATAGAACACCCCATATATTTTTACATTTTTAAATTCTAGATACAATTTTGAGTAAAATTACTGTACCATGTCCTATACCTAAAGTGAATTGTTTTTGAGTTATTAATTTTTTCATTTAAAATATGACAAATGCGCGTCAATCAAAAATAGCCTATAACTTTCTTGCTATTAGGTTTGCGGTAATGGGGGTGGAATTTTTGGAATCTTAAAACATTGTTTAAAAGATTCCATGTCAATTCCTTAACTAGATTCCAAAAATTTTACCCCCATATCCGTAAACCTAATAGCAAACATCTAGAAAACTATTTCACGGTGCTGTTCTGAGAGGTAATTTTTGGACTTTCTGTGAAACCTATTTTTTTTTGTATTCTTGTTAATTAGGTCCTAACTAAAATTTTAAGAGCAGAATAAAAAAAATTTGACGGTTAATTTTGTTTTAATTGGATGTTTATTAAAAATATGTATGCATACTTTCAATTCTCCAATTAAAACTTGCGATTTTATTTAAATATTATCATAACTTTTTAAATCAGATTAAAGATTAGTTAATTTCCTAAAAAAGGTCTATACATTTTTTATATCTTTTACTGTTTTGTTGTAATACACGTTTAAAGTTTTAATTTAAGGTTAAATGTATAGTATACATTTATTAAACAATAATTCTAAGGGTGCCACATTTTATTTAGGGCCGATTTATTCATTTTTGATTTATTTGACGAATAATTTCTTTGGATACTAGATATTGCCAAGACATGAAAGTTATCGGCCCGATAAACTTTACTAAAGATGAATAAACTGGTCCTTAGTTAAATTTCATAAATTTCTTCGTAACTTTTACTACAATTTTTCATTTTTATTTAAAAAAAAAACACTATAAAAACTAAACAAAAATTATAGAATACGTATACTGTAAATGACGTCAAATAAATTTTTAATAGATCTAAGTTTCATGGCAACCTTTAAGGATATATTAATTAAGGGAACATAAATGTATACGTCAAAGGTGAGATTAAAAGTTTGAAGTTTATTGCAACAAAACAGTAAAATATATAAAAAAAATTTAAATACCTTTTTTTTTAGTTATGCAAATATTAAATATTTAAATTAAATCGCTAGTTTTAATTGGATAATTGAAAGAGTGCATAATATTTTTAATAAACAGCCAATTCAAACCGTCAATTTTTTTTTATTTTGCTCTTAAAATTTTAGTTATGACCTAATTAATAGGTTTCACAGAAAGTCCAAAAATCACCTCTCAGAACAGCACCGTGATTTACTTTGGAGATAGGACATGGTGGTAATTTTACTCAGAATTTTATGTAGGATTTAAAAATGTAAAAATATATGGGGTGTTCTATTTGAAATAAAAAAGTTGATGTTACTTCCGGTCAAACTGAAAGTGGCATTTTGTTCTAAATATTAAAAAAAAATAAAACGCTTTTAAATTTCAAATCATATTTTTTCCGTTCCCCAGAAACTTCCAATGGACCACGAATGCGAAACCCTGTATATCAAGTGGTGTTTTTAGGTTGTGATACCACTATAGATTCGAAAGCAATGTATAATCGTCAAACTAAAGATTAAGGTTTGTTTCCAACATATATTTAATATAAGAAAAATACAAATCTGTTGTTTTATCAAAAAAAAAATCAAAAATTAAAACCAGAAAAAATTAAATTGTTATTTTCATTAAGTAAAATTTTTGTATTATGTAAAAACATAAAATATTGCAGAAAAAAAATGATTTATAACAAAATAGAGAATTAAAAATCTGTTTAGGTTAAAATAATAAGAATGGCTGTGAAAAAAAATTAAATGACGTGATTTTGTGAAACGGTGAGATACAGGTACGTTTTTTTAACCTTTATTTTTAAAATCTGTTAAAAAATTTCATGGGAGAAAAATCGTGTTGTACTGTATAATATTAGGATTCTTACCAGCATATTTGTGTACGAAAACAGTACTCATTCCCAAAGATCTGGCAATAGCGCAAGCATGTTGACCACCAGCGCCTCCAAAACATGCCAAAGTATGTCTAGCGGTGTCATATCCTTTGGCTTGAGTTAAAGCTCTAATGGGTCTACACATGGCTTCATTTGCTACCCTAACAAAACCCATAGCTACCTCTTCTATTGACATAGATTTCTGAAATTTTGAAAGAAAAATTATTCATGCGCTCAATTTTAGAATCACGGGTGTTAAAAAAAATTGTAACTCAACATTTATCCAATGTCTTTCATCTCTTTAATAAATTTTTAACTGAAGATTTCTCAAAGAGGAAAAGGATATTAAAAAATGTTAAAAGGAATTTTAAGGAAAGTATTATTTTAAGGATAGAATTTCTCGTTTTTAACCTTTGGAAAATATAGTCAGTGTTCAATTTCAATTATAAATCTTACTTTGTTTTGTTCTTGCCCTGACAAAAACGCATTTATTTCCTTGGTCAACTTCTCAAATTCTTTCAGGGTTTCTTTTTTATCGAGGGGTGAATCTTCGTTGGGTCCAAATATTTTCGGGAAATATTCAGGCAACAACCTTCCCAAGGCCAAATTTGCGTCTGTTACAGTTAGAGGCCCTCCTTTCTTGTAGCAGACTGGTCCAGGATGTGCTCCTGCTGACTCAGGACCAACCACAAACATACCAGATCTAAAATTAATCAAGAAATTGTTTTTTAGATGAAAAATGTTATCACGTTTTTAATAGCACCCAAAAATTTTTAACATTGGAAAACATTTTGAGCACTTAATTTAAAAAACAAAAAAATTAAGTGCGATAGTAGAAGAGCAGCAAATACATTCTTTGTATATGCTGAACTTTGCCCATTGATTGTATCTTTTATAATCAATAAAGACATTTATTATTATTATTTGTTTAAAGTGCAGTACTCGTTTTTAAATAGACACCCAGTATGTATATTATTTCAATTTGCTACACAGTAGTTCAATACGAAAAGTTATTAATATAACATAATACCCAGCAATAACTGTCTTAAATATTCCACAAGCATTAGATATGAGATAATACATAGATTAATAAATCTCAATTTCATATCTAAGCACCGTCAAGGGTGCGATTGCCAATAAAACATTGTAACCACTTTAAATTTTATCAAATATTGCACGTATAATCTTTATTATTACCTACCTTACTACTTCTGCATCGGATAATAAATGTGGGTAGGTTTTAAAAAGTTTTATTTTTAAACTATCGTGTTGTCAGTAATGTTAAGCGTTTTTAAAAATTTATAAATAAAAAAACTAGAAATATTATCAATTACTTTAATAACTAATATAAAGCTTAATTAAAAATCAAAGATATTAAATCTTAAAGGTAAAAACCTTTGTAACTCGGCTTATTTTTCATAATACTACTTTTGAGTATGTACACTGTTTAAAATATCTGCGGTGTAAAAAGTAATCCTAAAATGGTGTCAAAATCCAACACCATGTGGTGTTAAAATAACACCATGAATTAGGGTTGAAAATGAACACCAAAACGGTGTTTATCTAAAAATATTTGAAAAGTGCACCTACCCAGAAAAAAAGGAATAGTTCATTTAACCCAGTTGACCCATAAGTATTTATATTTTTGTGGATCACGTGATGTTCTTAAATCTCGCCTCTGTTGACTTACATGAAGAATATATAAACATAGGTAATCCTTTGCTTTGGTGTGACACTACAAGTTGTTCGATACTAAAGGTGGAAACAGCTGTCAATACTTGAAGTATTTTAAGTTAGTGGAACGCACTAAAAACTTTATCTCTAGCGAGTTGAAGGTTTCATTTTCTGGAATAATACCACTGGTAATATACTAGTAATGCGTCAAGGAACTTCCTGTTTCCTTTTTTTTTCCTTTTTTCTGTGTAGTATGATAATTTGACCACAAACACATAATATTTAACACTGAAAAGGAGTTCAATTTACACCAGGTAAAATTTATTTTAATACTGTGTGAAAGTTAAATTAACACCATTTTAGTATTTGAATTTACACCGCCAACGAACCTTATTTAACACCATTTTAGTATTTGAATTGACACCGGACCAACGAACCTTATTTAACACCATTTTGGTTTGTATCGATATAGACCACGTATGGTGTTAATTTGGTGTTAAATTGGTCATGAAATTTTGAACAGTGTAGATAGAACCTCAAAGAAAGTAAAAATAAATTAAATTAAAAGTGGTAATCATCAAAAAAAAAATATTTTCGAAGAAGAAAAAAAATAGCAGATAATTTTTTTATATTTTTTTTAACCTGTAAAAAAGTTGTTATTTGGTCTATTTTTGTGATGGAATTTGTTTCTTTTATTTTTCAACCAAACCGAAAAATAGTGGCTCACAAACTTTTTGAAAAATTTTCTTATCGGGACGATTTTTTTAAAAGGTTTGTTTTTAAATGTAATTTTAGAAAAATATAGAAAAAAAATATTAAGACCGATCTTCAAAACCAATTTTGAAGATGTCAAAGAAAGAAAAAAATAATAAATAAAATTAAAAGTGGTAATCATCGCAAAAAAAGTTTCGAATATTTTTTTAAGCAAAGAAACAAAGAAAGTGAAAAACAATATTATAAATTATTGTGTTTATTTTTGGACAAACAACATAATAGGTAGTATATTATCAGAGCTGGCCAAGTACTGAGTACGAGTAAAAAAGTACGAGTACTTTTTTACTCATAAGTATTTTTGATTTGAAATACTTATTACTCGTACTTAACCAAATTCAATGTACTCGTAAAAAATACTCGTGGAATTCACGAGTTTATTATATCGATGACTTTTTGTGAAAATATCAAAACATTTTGTTTGGAAGTCTATTTTAAATTTTATAATATATAGTATAATATAATACATTATAGCATATAGGTTTTAGAATAAGTATATAGGTAAAATTATAAACTATTTAAGAATTGTTATTTTTATTTATTATTTTATGTACCTAATTTTTAAAATAAATAATTTAAAAAATTTGTATTTGTATTTTTATAGGTCAGGACCAAAGTATGTATAATGTATAAAGAATAATCAATTATATTAAGTAACATTTTTTTTTCAAAAGTACTCGTACTCTTTACTCGTGTTTTCACGATTACTACTCGTAACCGTAACCTCTCTTTACCAATGTACTTACGAGTAAAGTACTTACGAGTAAATATTTTAAGAACTCGTAAATTTTACGAATACTTTTTTTTAGTACTCGTGCCCAGCTCTGGTTTGCAAGAATAAAAGATGTAAATTAATATCATGATTATAACATTTATATATCAGTTATTCTGATATATAAATGTTGAATCATTTTACCTGAAAAATAGCATTGAGCCTCCGCCGGCAGCCACTGTGTTTACGTCAAGTTGGGGGGCCTGTATGGTGACTCCTGCAGTGGTGCTTTCGTACACGTGTTCGTAACTTCCCGCGAATCTGGAAACGTCCGTTGACGTTCCGCCCATGTCGAAACCAATCACCGGAAGATCGGTTTCTTTTTGCCATGTTGTCACTGCGTAACCCACCACGCCACCTAAGAATTTTTACGTTAATATTTTAAAGAAAGCTAAAACAATGTATTTATAATTTTTATGGCCAAATAAAATTAGAATGTTTTAAATGTACATATGTATGAGGCGCCGTTTGTCCGTTAACTATTTTTGATATACAGGGTGTCCCAGAACTCGCGCCACAGAGAAAAAGGGGGCGTGCCGATAGCAATGGAGATGCCAAATTTAAAAATAAAAAATTTCTAGGTAATAGTGTAATCGAATGAGAGCAAAAAAGCGGGAGCCAATACCGAGAGATCTTGCCTAGGTTAAACGTAGGAGCTTTAAAAATTGCTAGGAGACGATAGAACATTGTTGTCTTAAAAACATTTAAAAATCTTTTGGCCAACTGTATTTACTAAGTTGTCAAAAGCTTTCAAAAAATGAGGTTATTAATCTATGACTGATACTTCAGAACGCCAATGTTTTAAAGTAAAAAATCAAACCAGTTGTACTTTATTTAGCTTTTTTTGCGCCCACGCTCCCCATAAATAGTTATCATTTCGTTATAATCATCAAGGAAAACATTATTTATAATAATTATTACCTAGGTAATAAATTAATTTATTATAAATAATGTTATTAGCTAATACAATATTAATGACAAAAGTAAAGATTGACAGCATTGTCAATAATAACATAATTTATAACCTAATATAATATTAATGATAGGAGTAAAGATTGATAGCAGTGTTACAATGAATTGGATTCTAGTGGACCAAATATTTTACATATTTTTTATTATCAACACTGCAACCTAAGTACAGTTGTATTCATTAAAAAAGCGTACAAGAATTAGAATGAGAGAAAACTGTCAACATTATTGCGTAAAACCGGCTTTCCACTGACTTAAGTCACTATAACTGACAGTAGAAAATAAAAATGCCTCATCAGTTAAAAAGGCTCAAATAGTATCAAGAATCGAAGAAGAATGGTCAATTCGTACTGTGGTATAATAGAAATAAAAATATATTAAAAATTAAGCAACGCTGGGAACAGGAAGATTTACTAAACCAAAAAGTTGGTTCAGGTCGTCCCAAAATGTCCACCCCTGAACATGATGCTGCTTTTTTGAGATATCTGAGGATTTATGGGAAACTATACAACTATACTATACCTACTATACTGCTGGGAAGATATTAATCCAAATATTGTATTAAATTTAATTCAGTTCATCCCAAATAGATTGGCTCAAGTAATAGAAAAACAGGGATGCATGACTAAATATTAATTTTTTTGTAATGTTTGTTTTTTTCATTATTAAAAGGTAATAATTTTTGTAATATTATTTAATTAACCTACGACGTCAATGCTCTTTATAACCTATAATAATTATTTTAATGACTTATGTCAGTGATAAGCCGGTTTTAAGCAATAATATTATTTTGACAGTTTTCTCTCATTCTAATTCTTGGACGCTTTTTTATTGAATACAACTGTATCCTAGCAATTTAAAGAATTCCCTGTGGTGATCTATTGGGATTGGCTATCGTTTTTTATTCTTATCTCCCTTATCCTTTGCGTTGGACAATTTGAATTTTTAAATATGTGTTTCAAATTACTTTCGGTACGTTCCCTTTTTCTCTGTGGCGCGAGTTCTGGGACACCCTGTATATAAGAATATTTTTTTATATAAACTTTAAATTTTCTATATATATAGAAACATTTTAGTTCAGATAATGTCGCTTGAGAATGAGGCCGCTTTGGGGTCATCAACTAAAAAGCACTGTTGCCAGAGTGTGCCAATGCAAAGTTTTGGTCAGTGTTTCCAACATAACGGATCTTCCGCCAGATTTAGCGGAACAGAATGATAGCAAAAAGTATACCTAGGATTTTAGTATTTTTAAATACTTATAGGTAATATATTGGTTGGTTGGTCTATTTTTATTGAAAAGAAAATTCCTCTTCTTTGGGCTTCTCTATTTCTCGAAATAAACACGGCTTCGGTTTTACTAATAGGTATTTAAAAAAACTAAAATTTCTTACGTTTTGCTTCTCTTGTCAATTTATAAAAAACAAAGAATATTTTTTAAAAACTTGGACTCTTACAAATTAAATTATATAGGTACTAATCTTATGACAAATACCATTCGATATTATGTTCAAGTTTCCGTTAAAAAATCCGTCAGCCGTAAGAGTATCTTTTTCCCATCGACCTTTATTAAAATCTGCTAGATCTGGCGAAACGTTATGTTGGAAACACTGACCAAAACTTTGCATTGGCACACTCTAGCAACAGTGCTTTTTAGTTGATAACCGCAAAGCGCCCTCATTCTCAAGCGGCATTATCTGAACTAAAAAGTTTCTATATATATATAGGAAATTTAAACTTCGGTCATCTATGCTTTATATATAAAAAATATGCTTATACAGGGTTCCCCATAATAGGCCACCCATTTTATCATTTTAATTAAAAAATTTTTATTTAACAAAACAAACTTTTTATTATACTAAATTACAGCTAACTCTTTGGGATTTATGATAACTTTAAATATTTGGCTAATTTAATTCTAACTTTTAAAAATCACGTCTTCTAAATGACCTCCACCAACTTCAACATATTTTTCAATATTAGATAAAAAGTGTTAAAGTCGTAAACGCAATTCTAACTCGCGCCTTAGACGCCAATGACGAACCCAGAACTTAACAGTTTTACGATTTGGCACGTGACCCCTATTGTTGTTATTAAACTGACGCCGGAATTCACGCCTAACTTCTTCTATCGAATTGCTTCTTATGTAAGTTTCTACACAAAACCCACGTTGTTGGACTGAGTAAGTAATCCATGAAAGTTTAAACGGATGTTTAAATAATGTCTCAAAGCAAAAAAATTAAATAATTTAAATAATTATTGATGAAAACTAACAAACTTCTCGTAGAAAAAATGACGTTCCAGGAAATTATTAATTTAAAACTTATTTGTGACAGGCGCCTACTTAATTAATAATTAACTTAAATCCCAAAGACTATAGAAGATATTCCCATAGAGAACAACTTATTTAGATATCTTGTAGGGAATTTATTAATAAAATAAAATGGGTAGTCTATTATGGGGAACCCTGTATATAGCAAAAATAATTTACGGACAAACGGCGCCTCATACATATGTATTTATGTATCTAAAAATTAACAATTTACCAAAAATAAAAAAATATTTACGAAAATATTGTGTTTTGCAAAAATGGCGAATGCGCCGGGATTAACTTCAACTTATAATAATAATAATAATGCTTTATTGAACCAAAACCAAGTTCAAAGGCTATTGACCGTAGTCCTTTATCCGATCAACGTCAACTTTTTTAATAAATTATAAAAATAAAATACTTTTTTTTTATTTATAGTAATAAAAACAATAAGATTGTGTAAATTTATTTAAAAAAGTGTACTTCATAAGCAGGGTTTTTTGGACCTCATAAGTGCGGGGCAGCTATGTGGTGTGAAAACATTAACCTTGTTTCAGAATTTCAGAATTTAAGAAAACATATTTTTTTAAACTAAAAAAATTATGAGAAAGAAAAATTTAAGTTTTTTATTATGTAAGTATTCCCAACAAAAAACCCAAAGGAAGTTCATGTTGACTCCTGGGACATCATTGAACATGCGTTTTAACAGTTTTATTAAATGTAAGGTTTAGTTTTGAAGCGAATAATGATATTTGTGTGAAACAAAAAATCCAAAATAATTAAATATTATAATAAATAAAATATATATTATTAATAAAAAAATAAATAGGATTTAAAGTTTTTTGTATAAAACCGCTTAACATTATGTTCCCCCCTATAAAATATAGAATTCTATATAATATACAGAGTGATTCACCTAACTTATTCATTAAAGGTTTATGGAGAACGGTTAAACCGAAAATGATATCAAGGTTGGTTTTTCCAATGGATCCATATAAATACTATTGCATTTTTAAATTATACGTAAAATTCTGGAAATAGTAAAATTTTATTTTTTTTTTATTTTAACAGTTTTTAAAATATTTAAAATATTAAAATGTTTAGAAAATCTTGATTAGTGTAATTATTATCACCCATTGTAACACAATTGTTAGAGACGTTGAAATTACTTTATAAATACGAAATAAAAGACAATACAAGGCACACTACTGATATTACAAATAAAAAATAAGCGGTATTCTCACATTTTTTGTAATATCCCTATTCATTTTAGGTATTTTAATAAAAAACATTAATTTGTGTCGAATGATGTGAAAATTGTATGGTAGTTTCGTTTCAAATAAGAAAGTAATTGGTATTAAAAGTGACAAAAAAGTTAACGTAAATACCATCATCTGTCAAAATTTTTGAAAAAAATTAAATAACTCAAAAACTGATTAAAATATAATCAATATGCAATATACGTATTAAAATTAAAACAAAAATATTAAAATCACCGATGATGATTACCTTTATTAATTATTTTTACCTGCTGGTCCTGACAAAATAGCCCTGGACCCATTAAAGTTATCCATGGGTGTGAGCCCACCATCACTCTGCATAAAAAGTACCCTGGTACCATCCAATTGGTTCTTAAACCCCCTGGAAAACCCTTGAAGGTATTTTTTCACGTGTGGAGTTAAATAAGCGTCTGCGCAAGACGTGAACCCCCTTGGGACTATCCTTACCATGGGCATTACTTGATGGGACAAAGAAACATGTTGAAAACCTACAATAAAATTTACTTTTATATGGCACATTTATTGTTTTGATTTATTACAAAAACTAAACTTGTGTGCGTGGAATAATTAGTTAACATAAAATTCAAAATTCAAATATGCCCCAATGGAGATTTATACCATTAGACTAATTAAGTACTGCTTTATAATTCATAACAACTTAATTAGCACAAAATTGCAATAACGCTGAATACTGGATAATTGATAAGAATTTCATTATTTCAACCAATTAGCAAATGGTAACAAACTAACCAGAAATTAATTTAAATAATGTGATACATTTACAGATTAAAATGTCAGCAATTGTCAAATTTGATGTTTTAATTATTAAGCTGTTAATAATTTACTAATTTTAATTTATATAATTGGCTAGTTTTATTGATAATAATTATTTAAAATTTATTGATTAATAAATTTTTGCAGGCGGCAACTCCGCAGAATTTCCAATGTATCTCCTATTTTTCGCAAATTTGTTGTAATTTTTCCATTGTTATTATTGACCTATTTTTAAATAAAAAAAACGAATTTTTTTTTAAGTAAATAAAAAATATGATGTTAAAGACCGTATTTTTGTTAGTATACCCTGAAAATTTTGTATAAATCAAACATAAAGCGCTTCAAAGTCGTCAAAAATGACCACTTTTCAGCAAAATAACCAAAAAGGGGTTATTTTTACCGACTTTGAAGCGCTGTATCTTCGTTACTGTTTCTTTTGATTTGTACAAAATTTTTAGGGTATACTAACAAAAATACGGTCTTTAACAACATATTTTTATATATAGATAAAAAAATTCTAACTCTAAAACGCCTTTACCAATCTTTATGAAAATTTGACTAAAAATACTTAAACTTATATCTCAGTTTACGTGTTTGAGTTTTTTTTCGAGAAAATATTTTTAAAGCTCTTTTATTTAATAATAAAAAACGTTAGAAAAATATCTTTTGGGAATTTTTTTTTAAGTAAATAAAAAATATGATGTTAAAGACCGTATTTTTGTTAGTATACCCTGAAAATTTTGTATAAATCAAACATAAAGCGCTTCAAAGTCGTCAAAAATGACCACTTTTCAGCAAAATAACCAAAAAGGGGTTATTTTTACCGACTTTGAAGCGCTGTATCTTCGTTACTGTTTCTTTTGATTTGTACAAAATTTTTAGGGTATACTAACAAAAATACGGTCTTTAACAACATATTTTTTATTTACTTAAAAAAAAATCCGTAAAAGTTATTTTTTAAACGTTTTTTATTATTAAATAAAAGGGCCTTAAAAATATTTCCTCGAAAAACCCTCAACACGTAAACTGAGATATAAGTTTAAGTATTTTTACACAAATTTTCATAAGGATTGGTAAAGACGTTTTAGAGTTTTAGAATTTTTTTTACTTATTATGCGTAAATTTTGACGGGCAGTGTACAATTAATAAATTCGAAATTTAATTAATTGTCAAAATGTCATAGTTTTAAATTTTTTTTATTTATTTAAATTTGTTGGTCAAATATAAAAATAATAATAATTAAGTTTAGAATCTGTTAAATATATTTATAAAAAATAAATTAAATTTTTGGTTTAGCCTATAGGTGGCAAAATTGTAAATCCGCCTCTGATAAATATGAAACTCTACAGTGTACACAAAAATAAAATAATTTAAAAGTTAATTGTTAAATGTTACTTTCATAAATTAAATTTTCCGTAAGAATAACATAGGAAAAATTATTTTTGATCTTTTTATTTTTGTAACTAACTAACAATAAGTCTTACTGTAAAGGTCTTGACATATATTTGTAGAGAATTGAACGCTCTACAAAAAAGGTTTCCTATGATTTTTTGATAAATTTGATCCTTCTAAAGAAATTTAAGGTCAAAGTTCAAATTATACGAATTTTTTGGGTTTTTAAATTTTTTGGCGAGTCTACCCGACTAATTTTTGAAATATTTTTGTATATACACTTTAAAACAAATTCAGTTAAAATCGCACAATACATAAAGATTTTACAGGGGTGAGTCGCAAACAAATGGGTCACACTATATATATATATATATATATATATATATATATATATATATATATATATATATATATATATAATATATATATATATATATATATATATATATATATATATATATATATATAGCAACTTTTGTTGCAATTTTGTTTTATGCACGGTAATTTCGATATTAGAATTATTCAAAATATTGTGTACTTTACTTTATATAAAAAAATGGCTTACTTTGAAAACCAAACCGAATTAAATAGATATATCTATTTAAGTTGGTTTGGGGTGTTTTCCAGTGTTTTCCAGTGTTTTCCTTAGCTACTTTTATTGTTTTTATATAAAAACAATAAAAGTAGCTAAGGAAAACACTGTTTGGACATTTGCCTATCATAAATATTTTTGACGCCGTAAATACATCATTTTGCCTTACGTGCGATGTTTTATAAAAAAGTTTGGTAATAATTAATAATCATTGATAACCTCAAATTTGACTTTTGTGTTAAAAGTCGCAGTGTATAATAGCGTTTTGTTATTATGGTTTTCATGGTAACTAAGTGAGCGTTTTGGTTACTTTGTCGTTTGGCGAGCGACAAAGTAAAGAAAAGCTTGGTCCTCGGAAAAGTGCAACTTTGCGCTTTCTTTTGGAAGCGCAAATTTGTACTTTTCGATCGATTGTAGAAAAATATATTTATTTCTTCTATGTTAATGATCGTTTCAATGTGATTTTTTTAGTGGAAGTGTCGTGTGGTAGGTCTGGCCCTTTTTCAGATTCGCTGTATCTAGTTGGAAATCATTTCAGAGTCAATGGAAATCTTTCTAAAGTTTAAACATATTTTCGTTTAAGAAAATTTTTAAACTGCTAAATATTATAAAGGCCGCGGCAAGTTGCGCCCCATTAATTTGTACAGCAGTCGAAAAGCCGGTTTAAAATGTTTTGTAGTTTGCAAAGGCGGGAAAATAGGTTTAAATGCTCGTGGATTGGTTGCCTCTTGTTTTAGAAAATGAATAGGGCTACAAAATAATTTACCGTAAAATGCACAGTTTGCGAAATATTTGCAAAAAAGTAAAAAAAAAAGAAAATTTTTAATTTAACAAACCATATTTTTTTTAATTACACTTTAGACAAAAATTGTAATAAATTTAATAATAAAATAATTTAATTTTTTAGTTTATTATTTTATTGTATAGATATTCACTAAAAACTGAAAAAATCTATTTTTACGTATATCTTTGTAAAAAAAATTGTCAGGTGATGCAAATTTGGTTTTATGCTTTTCAAATAAGCCTCATCATGAAAAAAACCCAGACAGTGCCTTAGCACGCAAAGTCAAACGACGCACAGTGCGTCGACCAATGGACAAAAATCGGATTTAGGTATGTTATAGATAATTAAAATTTGTTGACTACAGCAAAGATAAACCTTCGGTTGTATCAAAACAATATGCCACATTCTTATTTTTTACCGGCGAGAAATAAAACATCTTCATATTCTTCAGTATTTTAATAACTAAAATAAATAGGTGTAAACGTAGTATCCTTTGAGACGCACGTAGTCGGCGTAGTGTTTATTTTGTTAAAAAGTATTAAAATGAAAAATTTTTTTGGTGGTAAGTACTGTTTATATGTACTATATAAAATGATTAAAATAATTAATTTAGGCCCAAAATAATTATTCAAAAATGTTTCAACAAAAATAGTTGTAGTTTAATTTTAATAAGCGTTTTCTCTAAAAGACCCAAATTGACCCTTCCAAATTTATCAAATTATATTTTCCTAAGGTCTGTAATTGATGACACTAGGCAACTTTTTTTGCGCCGCTTTGCGCAAGTAATTTTAATTTTAGGCACATTTCCGTCAATCAAATATATCGATCTTGTTGAGATATGGATCACCAGCGAAAAGTCTCAAGTAGAAGTGAGGAAGTGACTTATTTTAAAACAGATGGTCTTTCAAATGAAGATGTTAAAAGGCTTCATGACATTGCACACTTTTTTTTGCTTTAAAATAGACCAAAAGTGGCAAAAATCTCAAAAAAAGCGTGATCGGTTTCCGACAGATCACAAATTGTGGCTTCAAAATTAAATTGCTCTAATTGGCCACTTTAGTTAAACACGAGACAGATCCAGGCTGTTGTTTCCTAGTTATTATAAAGTAAAGAAGTGTCGAAATGAGTTACTACCGAAGAGGCTACTGAATATGTGGCCAAAGTTAAGTTGCAAGAGTTATTAAATATTACAGTGACTTATATTTTGAAAACCCTTGAAAATATCACTTTATTAAGCTGTATTATTGAAAACTACTTATTATTTGATAATTTAGATATAGACCCTTTAAGTGTGATTACAGGTTTAAATATAGACAATAATTCTTTGTATTCCAGCAGTGACGAATCAGAATGATTTTACTTGTTATTAGGCACGGATTGTTTTCATTTATTAAATAATTATATACGCCCTGTACAGCCAAACTTAAGAATACTACTAAGAATGTCCAGAAGCTACCTTATTGAATAAATAATTTATTATTTTACGTTATACAGTATGTTTAAAATTAATTGTTAAATATTTAGTATCAAACTATCAAAATCAATAAATAAATGTAACTAAATCTTTACCTGAAACAAACAGGATTGTAAGTTAATACATGTGCCTTTTGTGCAGTAATATGGGCTGTTAAAATAAAAAAATAAATGGCATTGATATCAACAAAAACATAGGAGTTATGATTTTTGTCCCGATTTCCCATTTACTCGTTGCACTGTGCGACGGTTTGTCTGGACTAAAGTGCAATAATCTCCGAAAACATTTAGTTAAGAACCCTATTTTTTCTGGCGACCTTAATCACATAAATACCAAAAGGCTATATTTTTTAGACGAAAAATCAAGGTTTAGAAAATATCAGACGGATGTGAGCAAGTCAAACTATTATTACCACTATTAGGTATTATTTTTAGTCTGGAAAACTTTTGACCCAGAGTGTTCCACCTCAACTGAACTTCAAGCAAACGTACAATAAACATAATGCAAGTAAATAGGCTGATATAAATTTGCGTACCTATCTCGTGTGCGACTTGTCCAATCAAAAGTTCGTGTTCGTAGTAAGCGTAGCTGTGTGCGAGCGCAACGGAAATGCTGTCAATCCCCTTCGCCCTCAGCGCGGCCAATTTGTTCCTTGTTTCCTCTAAATTTACTTCTTTCGTTACATAAAACTTTTCCCCGGTTTTTCCGTCGACGGTTTTCCAGTTAGCGGTGTCGCGTTCTCCCAATTGGCATTTGCCATCCAGCACCGGTATTATTCTGCAGTCAATTTCCACTACTTCCGAATAGAGGACGTCGGGACGCCGAATGTTCTGCAAATGTAAACGTATAAAGTAGGCAGGTATACGTAATTGATATTTACTGGGGGTTTCGAAGGCAATGGCCAAAGAAAATTTGTGATGTCTATATGCCTTTGGTTAACCAGGTTAAATTTTACCTTGGATTCTGCCCAGTATGGGGTTGCAAAAAGGGGAAAAAGTGTATGTTACATTTTTTAAAAATTTAATTCCTGATAATAGTTTTTGTTTGATTTTAAACCCCTAGAATATGCCTCACATCATTTTTATTGTCTATAGTTAATTTGTAATTTGATTTATCTAAAAATTTTCGACTAAACATATTTTGATAAAAATCATTTTTGGTCAGTTTTCGTTATTATTATTATGACATTACGTATGTAGATATAAGTATTAAGTCACTATTCACGTAGTTAGGCATCAGTAATTGGCTGATTTCAATATTCAATGTAATTTGAACCATTTGGGTTTTAAATTGAAAGAAGAAGTATCGGGTTTTCGCAACGCGCGCGGCATCTGGTAGACTTCGATAGCATTGTGTAAATTTAAGAATTGTCAACAATACATTTAGAGCAACGAACTGCACTTTTTTTTTTAAATAAATATGTAGATTTTTCATAAAAGAGAGGAAGGCAGATGTCTTACTCAACAAATTTTGTTCAATTTCACAGCTAAATCTCGCACGTTATTTGTGTTTTACGTTGCAAGGAAAAAACTAAAAAACTGGTTTAGTACTCGATTTCGATTGATTATTCTTTATATCATTGATTAAGAAACTCAACGATTAAATGCTTATACCTATACTATATAGTTACGTTAGTGTGTGTATTTTATCTGGTGAATGATTGTGTTTTTAATTGTAAATAAAATTTAAAAACTAAATCGTTCATTTTCATGTTTTGCCAAAGGATCCAATTCGCTAGGAACATTTGTTGGTGCAGATTTAACTAATGATAACTTTACCTTATATAATTTATATTTAAGTTGGAAATTTTTAAGGAATTATTAAAAAAAATTTATATACTGATTCAGTATTGCTGAATTGAAATGTTTACACTTTTCACGTTAATCATTACTAAAATGTGTATTTATTATATCTAATAGATACAATTTATATTTACAGGGACTGTATGAAATTTATTTCTCCATTCGGATTAACACTGTTTATTGGAAAACCGGAAAAACTCAACCTAGGATTTCCTCTCGAAATACACCCAACAACACAACAAATCGTTCCAGGTTTTTTTTTCGATATTTTCCGGCTTTATTCTCAAAAACATTCGTTTGTAACATAAGTGTTTTTAAAACAGCTGATTATTAAAAGTTGTAGTTTTGTTACGATGATAACGGCCGAGTGGTGGAGCTACTAGCGATGCTTCTTTAGCGTATAACTTTTGAAATTGGAAAAAAGTGAGATTAACCATTTGGCAGATGCCAGATTTTATTTATTTATTTTTGAAATCATTATCTACTTATTGTAGATAAAGTATAGTATATATTACACCAGAGATTATGCGCATTATTCAATCAGATGATTTAAGTCTCTCGTCTAAAGACTCGAGACGCAAACCTTATCCTCGTTAATAATAGCCTACAGTGTCTATCGTATAATAATATAGGTATTAATAAACAATTTATGAAACGGCGATGAACAAGTAACAAGTTTGGAATCCAAATGCCACTTTTTGCTTTTTATAAAGTCAAACCACAGAAATTTATGTAATCTTAACTTAGGCGATGTAAGCAAATTATTAGAAAAATTTAATATAACCTAAATTTTATTTAGTTGACAATTGGTATCGTACGTGGACGTTATAATATGTCTATAGCATCATATATTTTAAATCCCCCACTTATAAACTGACAATGCGCATAAGGTAAAATGATACGACAAAATCGACCAATTTTCTCTCAAAAAAAGAAACTAGGTCATTTATACAAAATAATATTTTATATATTATAGCGAATAAGCCGTATAACATATATAACACATATTTGCACACATATATGTGTGCAAATATGTGTTATTCCGTCATTCGATGATAGAATATTTCATTCTGTTACACTTTAAGAAATATACATAATTCCACATTAAAAAGTGATGTTAAAACGGTGATATTTCGTAATAGGACTAGAAAAATGTATTTTTTATTATAAATTGTAAAGTAAAAATGTCAACAGAAACAATTACTTTTGAGAAAATTTAATGACAAATGAACCAAAACTGACTAAAAATGAATTTTATCAAAAAAGTTTCAGTACAAAATTTTTAGAAAAATTATAGTTGAAAATTAACCATAGAAAATAAAAATGATGTGTTGCATATTTTGAGAGTTTGAAATCAAGAAAAACTTTAATTAAAAATGAAATTTTCTAAATAAATTAAAACTTTTTACTTATACAGACTTAGTGCAGGATGCAAAAGATATTAAAAATTATTTAAATTAAAAAAAAGTATTTTAACAAAACTTAATTAGAAATTATATTGCAAAAATAATTGAAGAAATGAGAGAAAAAAAATTAAAAATATTTTAAATTTAATTTAACCTTTTTTTAATCCCTGAAAATTATGTAATAAAAATGTAAAATTATAAAAACACCTACATAGGTACATAGTATAAAATAGTATACCTATAGGTACATTGCATATTAAACAAGTAAAAATTTAATTTTTGAAAAAAATATGATTTAAAATAAATCAAATAAACTACCAATTTTTTTTGGTTTGTTAATTATTTTAATAAAAAATCCACAAAGAAATAAAATATGCCACATCCTTCTACAGAATTATTTTTACATACCAAGTCAAATATTTTGGGCCTGGCTTGGTTTCCAATAAGTAGTATATCGCCGAATCCGCTGTTTGTAACGAACGCCATCCGTTCTCCTTTCCTCTCCAACAAGGCGTTAGTTGCCACGGTTGTTCCCATACGAATCCATTCTATGAGCGAGCTGTCTACATTTCCGTCTCCATCCAAAGCGGAGCCTGTCTCCTGTTGAGAAAAAACGCGAGTATTTTAATATTAACGATGCATCGCGATACATGTGGTTTTGTGTGCTTTCGGGGTGAATTTAGATATATGATTATTCGGAATTTTATCTTTTATCTTTTATATTTTATATTTTATATTTTTGTTTCGTAAAGGAAAGTCAGGGCTGATAAATGGTGCTTGGAGACAGAACATTAATATCAATGGAAAATAAAAATGAATGCATGACGCATCTATCACTTTTAAATGGGTCTGTAAATTTTAATAAAGAGTGTAAACCATCCTAACAGTAAAATAGTAAATATGTTTTGTTTAGCCAAAATTCGTCATTTGCTGCTGTCCGAATTGTTGCTTCATCAATCTACTTTATTATTATTATTGTCAGACAGTTCCAACCTCACATTCTTCAAATTAACCCGATAGGATCAAATCACAGTGAATAATGAAATCCTCCAATTACGAATTACTAGGAGTAGAAAAAGCTTGTAATAAAATTTATAAATCTAACTAAAATCATATCTGAGGCCAAAGATTTTATACGAGTACGTAATACATACAGAGCTGCAAAAGGATTAGTCTAGCTGTTAAATTACAGCGTATGGCTTTGGTTTTGTATTTAAGTTATTAGGCTTACTGTTTTCTGTTTGCGAACTGAAAAATGTTTGCAAAATGAAAAATATAAGATTGAACTTTATAACCTTATCAGGAAAAAGAAATGCTGGTCACTTCATATTGAAACAACATTGCATTTCAAAACGAAAAGGTATTAAAAAACCGTTGACCATATTTTATTTCCTTGCAGTTCTTTTTAGGCGAAACTTTTCCAATCGTTGGTTTTTCTTAACCTCAGTTTTATTGAATATGGCTAGTGATGATACAATGATGTAACGAGGAGTACTCTTAGTTAACCACTATCTTCGATAGTGGTTTGAATTGCTTGTATATTTTCTAACAGGTTTCTTTTCTTCTTCCTTTTTTATATCGTGTTTTAACCCAGCAAAACCCAGATGCTCTGCGCATAAGCCTGAACTTTTTTTCTATCTGATATAACAGTGTGGTATGTTCCTCGAAAGTTAATCTGAAGTTTCCAGATCCGGTTAGAAGGACCATGTACAAGACTGGATAGTCTCGTTTTGATATATATATATATATATATATATATATATATATATATATATTATATACATATATATATATTATATATATATATATATATATATGTTCTGCTGTAGGTTTCCACGGCCGTTATATGTATTGATGGTTTTCCGGTATCTGCATGCTCCGTGTTGTCGGTTTTGGTTCTTAAAAGAACCGTATGTCTGACGTCTTATCTGCTGGGTTGCTGACAGCAACTTGCTGTTGCTGCTTTGCTGCGAGTTAGACGTGCAGATAAGACCTGAAGAAGGTACATGAGATTGTACCGAAACGTCGTTGTTATTTTTTTCACGACTATTTTTATTTTTTTGCTCCCAACTCAAAATATTGTTGAAAATGTTCAAAAAAAAAATTCCCTGAAAATTTGAGCCCTTAATATTAACTCAAAGTACTCGACCAAAGCGTATAAAGATTTCCCATTTAAAATACACGTAAACTTTGATTATTTTTTTTAAATATCTATATCTCAGCCGCATTTTAAGCTATTGGATTGTTTCAAAAAGGGATTTACTATATATATATATATATATATATATATTATATACATATATATATATTATATATATATATATATATATATATATATATATATATACATCCCTCTACACTTATGGCGTCCTTTCATGGACGTCACTTATGGCTTCCCCCTTAAGGAAGCATATATATTCATTTTTGATTAAAGTATATTAGCTAACCCATTCTCCTTGTGCCTCCACTCGTTTAAAATTTTAGTTATTTTTTTAAAAATATACGGCTTTGTGACCTCCTTTTATAATGCAGACATATGAGCCCCACGAAATATATGATTTTGTACATTTCACAATATATATGAACTCCGGCAATGTTGCCATATTTCATAATATAAAAAACTATTATATTTTTATAAAACTTAGGATATAATTTGAAATATTATAAATACCCTATATTATTTAGACTTTCTTAACAATTTTTGAATAGGTATTAAACGAATGGTGAGATTAAAAAACTTAATTTTATTGTTAGAAAACAAATAAATTGTTTTTAGTTATATTTAATTTGGCTCGATCTAGCATAAGAAAATTTGCAGTAGGTTTATAAATTCAATTAAATTCAAAACTTTATATTAAATACCTACCTATAGGTATACTAATGTTAAAAAACTGTTTTTTAGAACACCATTTTACTTTGGAAAAAATCATATTTATTTATTTGACAATATTTATTAAATGTATGTATACTTTTTGCTTTTTAACAGTAAAGAACAAAAATATTGTGGCTGTAATTAAAAATAAATGTGGTAATATTCAAATTGTATTACAATAATTGTAATTGCAATACCACATTTATTTTTAATTATCATTACAATGTTTTTTGTGAGTTTTGCATACGCCTCATCTATGGATATATATACAAGGGGATGACGTTTTTTGTGATAATTTATTACGAGTTTTATACGGACTGTAAGTCTAGGTACCTATCTATAGATATTACGCTTTGTTAATTTTGTAATAGGTACCTACTAACATTTAATAACGTGGGGGTGGGAAAAATAGTGGTTTAAATAACTGTATAGGTACTATTTATATAGAATTATTATAATTATAGGTAAATTTATATAACAATACAGTTATTTAAACCACAATTACCGGTTACAACTTATTAAATTTTAGTATTGTAAATTAAACATAGCATAATATTTATAGATACCTACACTTTTTAAAATAATATCTGGCAGTCATAATAATTATATATTATTATTAACACTTTGTCGGGTGGTTAATATAATTTTTAAACTTAAGATCTTAAGATCTAGGTAATATATATCAAAAATCTTAGTATTAAAATTTTTGAAGTGAAACTTTTTAAGCCTGATTTATAGATTGCCTTTCTTCCTTCATCCCTTCCTTCCGTAAAAGTTAAACAATGGTCAGTGTTCAGGTTAGTTAGATGTAAGAAAGGAATTTTATATAATTAATGTTGTTAAAGTTAATATAATAGTTTATATAATTATTAGGACCCTTTGTTAATACTTATCTTGCCATACTATTTTTTCATTGTAAAAATTTAAAAGTGGATGATTATAATGTTATGTAAAGGTGACCCATATACTTAGGGGCCGTCCATAAATGATGTCACACACAGGGGGGAGGGGGGTCGTCGAAAATGTGACAGTTTGTGACAGCCTGGGGGGGGTTTGGGAGGTTGTGATGTCACAAAATTATAAAAATATTTTGGATATTAAGATTTTATTTTAAGCAAAAATTTCGTGGGGTAGACCTTACATAAAAATTAAATCAGTGTGACGTGACGCCAATGGGAAGGGGGGGGTCCCATAATTTGTGACACTTTGTGACAAGGGGGGGAGGGGGTTTCAAAAATAGGGATGCACGGGATCAGGTATTTTGCCGATCCGGCCGGAAACGGAATTTCGGCCGCTGGCCGAACCGGATCGCCGGATCAGGACCTAAATTTAAAATGTATTTGCATGCCTGTTTTTATACGTAAAACATTGAAAATATTGAGGCTGATTTATTTGTACTTTTTTTTAAACTAGCTACAGTATGCAGAGTATTTATTACTATTAATTTTACCTAGATAAAAATTAGTGTTTATTTAAATATTAATTTTTAATTAGCGTTAACAAAACTCATTCAATTGGAGAATAGCAGCCACCTGCCAATAATAAAAAAATTAAAAAGAAGTCGGGGAACCACAGCCGCCGGTCTATCATAGGCAAGGAAACACGCACACCCTTTACTGTTGACCAATTACAAAATATATCTGAAAAGCGCTGAAACTGGCCGGATCGGCCGGATTTAGTGGTACCGCCGGAATTCCGGTGCATCCCTAGTCAAAAATATTAAAAAAACGTGTGACATCACTTATGGACAGCCCCTTATCTCATAAACTACTGGAGTCACAAAAAATTTGTAAGAAACAAATATTCACGAAGTAAAAAATATTTTTAAAATATTATATTTTCATTTTCATTCCTTGGGCGATACCAACTATCTTATTTTCAATGGAAGACCCTGTATTTTTTTGGTATACTTTGTAAAAATATTAATTAAGAAAATGTTAATACTTTTTGAGTAAAATTAAGATTTATTAAAATTTCGCTAAAAGTTAAAAATAACCAACTAAAAGTTATTATTTTTTATATTATGTAGTGTTCATCTCTTTAATAATAAGTAAGCTATAAGTTAATTAATTTTGAATGAAAATTTAACCACGGTAATTGGAAAAAGTTGTGAAAATGAGTATATTTTTTTTCTATTAGGTTTAGGTATAGGACACATAGATACTACATAATATAAAAAATAATAACTTTTAGTTGGTTATTTTTAACTTTTAGCGAGTGTCTACATTTAGAGAAATTTTAATAAATCTTAATTTTACTCAAAAAGTATTAATTAATTATTATATTTACAAAGTATATCTAAAATAGTGTGTAGAATCCAAAAATGCAAAAAAATATAGGGTGTTCCATTGAAAATAAGAAAGTTGGTATCGTCCCAAGGAAAACCGAACACCATGTATAAATGAAAATATAATATTTTAAAAATATTTTTTACTTCGTGAATATTTGTTTCTTACAAATTTTTTGTGACTCCAGTATTTTTCTGAAATAAGTATAGTCGATAGTTTTCGATAGTGAGTAAATTATAAAAAAAAACATAATTAAAAAATAAAAGCAAAGTAATTATATATTTTTATTCAAAAATCACATTACAAATTTTACAAACTGCCCGAAACTTACAAATTTTACAAACTATAAACCTATAAAATCCCACAAACTTACCTTTTTTTTTTTTGTCTCGGACCCAGATCGAGTTATGAATTTCTCCATTTCTTACAAATTTTTCAAA